TGTTTTTGGTCAAGTCTAAGTGTTAGATCCAAGTGTTCCAAAGTCCACAGAACTTCTCGAACAACTTGGTTGACTTGAGTTCGACCAAGTATTGTTGTGTATGTTTCTCTAAGGTCAAAAGTATTGATCTTAGTATAATAATTTGTTGTAGGTGTTTGACGAGCCGTGCTCGCCGCCTACTCTTGATTGTGCCATTTTCCTCTTATTGCTGCACCAGGTGGGTTTACTTATTCAAAACTTGCTATGCCATATATGTGTGTTTCATGTTGAATGGGTATGATTTCAGTATGTACGTAAACCATGTAGCCTATCGATGTGAGCTGTTACGGCCGTCGGTACGGTTGTCCCCGTCGATGTAATACGGTTTCCCTTGCGAGGCAAGTCTCCGTAAGACCTAATGAAAGGCCGTGCCTTGTCGTATGGCACGTACCCCTAGGAGTTAGGGTAATGAATCCCGTTTCCTTGGCTAATGAAAGATGTGTACACGTGGGTATCATGTTGTGATGTGATTGGAGATGTGACAGAGTAATTGTTTTATGTTCATACTCTAACCATACCTTCTCTTCATTATTATGTTGTGATATATGTGCATAGTGGTGAGCACGTTTTTCATCTTCTGCTCATCCCAACCTGCTCTTTACCGATGCAGGTCAGTGACAGCCGGGTGACGAGGAAAGGACGAGATGGTCGGTCTATTTATTTATGCATTATTATGGCTTCCGTTGAACTTGAATAAATTTGTTGCACGTGATGTTTTGTGCAAACTATTTTCAAACCTGGCATGTGGATTTTGAATCTTATGAACCCTTGTAGTATGGGATTGATGTTTGACTATTTATTCATGAGATTGTTTTGGTTGATGAAAACCGATTGCGAAAACCGGGTAATGAATTCCCGTAGGCCCAGATAAGACTTGGGTTATGAAAATGTTAGTTAACACCCACTAAGGTTTCAAAAATGATTTTGAAAATTTTATACTGATTTTTGAAAAATTCGAAATTTCTGTAAAATCAAAGTGGGACGTTACAGTTTGGTATCAGAGCCAGTCTGCGTTTCTGTAGACTGGCACATATGTGATTATGTGTTTAGACCTTGTGTTATGACCACTCGTCTTCGTCACTCCGCGCTGCTTAAGGTATGTTTTGATTTAAGTACTCGTAATATGATTGATGATCATGTAGTAATGAACTACTTGTGATGAACTTGTGAGTTACTTATATTCTATGGGGCTTAGGATCTATCCACCTTGATTTTATCGAACTCTAGTGTTTGTGGCGAACTCTAGACTTCTGAGGTATTATTGTTTGTTTTCTGTGCTAACTTTACTCGGCCTACTCAAATGTAGAAGTATGAATGCTCAACGTCGTAACCGTCAGCCATCCCCATCTCCTTCTCCTCTTCATCGTCAGCACCAGGCCCCTCCGGCCATGGACCTCACTCAGCTGATTGTTCAGTTTCAACGCATGAATGCGCCAACCTTCTCGGGGATGGAGAACCCCACAGCTGTGCTTGAGTGGATGAATGAGCTGGACAAAATCTTTGTTGTGCTCCCCCTTCCCGACCGTCAGCGCGTGTCTATTGCGGCGTATCAGATGAAGGAAGATGCCTCAGACTGGTGGATTGAGTTTTGGGCCCGGAAGCCCGAGGCGGAGCTCCATGCTCTCACTTGGGAGCAAATGAAAGTGATGGTGAACAACAAGTTCCTCCCTCAGAGCTTTTGGGACAGAATGGAGCACGAATTCTATCACTTGCAGCAGGGCAGCTCCTCGGTGGATGAGTACATCCGCACTTTCACCCGTATGTGCCTTTTTGCGGGTGATGCGGTGAACACTGATGCTAAGAAGGCCCGGAAATTTCTCAAGGGTCTCAACCAGAGGATCCGTGAATTGGTGGGAAGTCATGGACCGATGTCATATGCTGATACCGTGAGCCGAGCCCAGGAGGTGGAGAGCTGTCTCATTCCGGTTGTCCCCATTTTATCTTATCCTCCCGCCTCTCAGTCTCCTCAGATCCAGTATGCTCAGCCCATCTCGGCCGTGCCGCCCGGCTCTAGCTCGGGTAAGAGGAAGTCCGACTTCAAGAACAAGGGCAAGGGAAAGAAAGTGAGCTTTGATAGGCGTGACAACCGACCCTTCAACGGCCAAGCCTGTCCGAAATGCGGTAGATCCCATAGCGGTGAGTGCCTAGCTAGCCAGCGAGCATGTTTCAACTGCAACCGTCCGGGCCATTATGCAAGTGTTTGTCCGGAGCCCAAGAAGCAGCAGCAATTTCCTCAGCAGCAGCATCAGCTTCTCCCACCGCCACCCCATCAGCAGCAGCAGCCCCCACCGTTCCAGCAGAGAGCTGGGGGTCAGGCCCGTGTCTATACCCTCACCCATGACGAGGCCGCTCGTAACACAGGTACTATGTCCGGAATGCTTTCTATATCCCATGTGCCTATTTTTGCTTTGTGTGATACCGGTGCTACCCATTCTTTTATCTCATCTCGTTGTCTGGAGGCCTTATCTATTAGCACCGTGCATGCTTGTGACCCTCTCGAGGTTAGCTTAGCCTCGGGAAAAATTATTATTTCTGATTCAATGGTTCGCGGTCTTCCCATTTGTATTGGCGGTCGAGTTTTGGAGGCCGATGTTTATGTTATTGATATGCGAGACTTTGACGTGATCTTGGGCATGGACTGGCTCACCCGTTATCGAGCCGACATCCGGTGCCAGGAGCGCGAAGTCACCCTCCATCCCATTTCCGATCAGCCGGTTGTATTCTTTGGGGTGAGTTCGAGGACTGTGCCTCGGGTCATCTCTTCTATGCAAACTAGGAAGAGCCTTTCCAAGGGTAGTTGTCAAGGCTACATTGTTTCTTTGGTGTCCGACGCCGTTGATGAGCGGGTGCCTGAACGAGTATCTATTGTTTGCGAGTACCTGGACGTTTTTCCCGACGATTTGCCCGGAGGACCGCCAGACCGCCAGGTGGAGTTCACTATTGACCTCATTCCCGGAGCTGGCCCCGTTTCT